ATCTGGGAGGGCAGTGACTGGGTCTGACTTATCACTGGGTCAAGACACACAGCCCAAGACCTGGCACCAAGTAAATGCTCAGTGCATCTGTTGATACCAAACTTCCAGCCAGACACCTCTAGTGATGGGAGCTCACTTTCTCCCGAAGTAGCCTTTCCTTTGGAGAGGGTTGTATTACCTGACTGATCACCTGGCTAATGGGAGGCAGCCTGCCTCTCATCTGTGTTAATCCTTTCCAATACTCAGCTTGTCCACTCAGATTCTACAGAGTGGGGCTCAGAGCCTGGATGACCCCAGTGATAACTGGGACTTTGAACTTTGATTCAGGAGGAAGCACATGGGCCAGTTCTAAGCGTAAATGTAAGGATCTCATGCACCATTGGTGGAAGGCTAAACTGACACAACATTTTGGGAGAGCAGTTTGTCAATTTGTTAGTAGAATTCAATTCTATTAAAATTCAAAATATACATACCTATCAATCAATCTTGTAATTCCCTTCTCTGAATCTACTCCATTCATACAAGAAGAGTCACTGTAGCATTGTTTGTGGCAGCAAGAAATTGAAACCACCCAACTTTTCATCAATAAGTGATCAACTAAATAAGCTATCTTCAGCCATACAATGGGAAACTGTAAGACTGTTTTTTTTTTCATGAAGTAGATCTATGTTATTGACATAGGAAGAACTCCAAGTCAAACTGCTGAGTGAAAATGTGAGTCTGCAGAATATATACTATAATATGTAGTATTAAACAGAGTATATACTATGATATATTTATAGAGAAATCAACCAACCTACAAGCTATATAAATTGGTACATGCTGGAGGCTATTTGAAATATCTATCAACTTTTAAAATGCTATTTAAATTGTTTAAATAACCTCAACTGACTAATCCCCACTGATAGGAAAAATAGTGGATAAAAATATTAACTGCAATGTTATTTATAATAATAACATATTGGAAACAATCTTTCTTTCCATAGGCAACTTGATAAATATCATGCACATACAATGGGATCCTATGCATGTGTGAAAAAGAATGAGGCTGACTTCAACAGCTGGTGTTGGCAAAACTAGACAGCTACATGCAAGAGAATGAAACTGGATTATTGTTTAACTCCATACACAAAAGTAAACTCGAAATGGATCAGACCTGAATGTAAGTCATAAAACCATAAAACTCTTAGAAGAAAACATAGGCAAAAAATCTTCTGAATATAAGCATGAGCAACTTCTTCCTGAACACATTTCCTCGAGCAAGGGAAACAAAAGCAAAAATGAACTCGTGGGACTACATCAAACTAAAAAGTTTCTGTACGGCAAAGGACACCATCAGCAGAACAAAAAAGCATCCTACAGTATGGGAGAATATATTTGTAAATGACATACTCAACAAGGGGTTAACATCCAAAATATATAAAGACCTTATACGCCTCAACACCACAAAAAGCAAATAACCTGATTAACAAATGGGCAGAGGATATGAAGAGACAGTTCTCCAAAGAAGAAATTCAGATGGCCAGCAGACAGATGAAAAGATGCTCCACATCACTAATCAGGGAAATGCCAATTAAAACCACAATGAGATATCACCTCACACTAGTAAGGATGGCCAGTATGAAAAGACTAAGAACAACAAATGCTGGTGAGGATGTGGAGAAAGGGGAACCCTCCTACACTGCTGGTGGGAATGTAAGCTAGTTTAACTATTGTGGAAAGCAATATGGAGGTTCCTCAAAAAACTCAAAATAGAAATACCATTTGACCCAGGAATCCCACTCCTTGGAATTTACCCAAAGAATACAACTTCTCAGATTCAAAAAGACATATGCACCTCTATGTTTATTTCAGCACTTTTTACAATAGCCAAGATATGGAAGCAACCTAAGTGTCCATCAATAGATGAATGGATAAAGAAGATGTGGTACATATACACAATGGAATACTATTTGTTGGGTCTGTGCAATTGACCTCCGAATAACTGGGAGACACATGGATGCAAAAGCAAGAGCGTTTATTGGGTAACTAGCATGCTGGGGTCTCACAGTCACAGGTGGAGACCCCAAAGTACAAGTTCATCCTTCTTTTATACATAGGAATGGTGTCGTGCGTAGAGCGGGCGGTGTGCAGAATGGGCCGTGCGCAGAGCGGGCCATGCGCAGAGCAGAACAGGCTGTGCGCAGAGCGGGTCGTGTGCACAACAGACCGTGTGCAGAGCAGAGTGGGCCATGCACAGACTAGGCCCAGATATGACCTGACTCTCACCACAACCAACCCGCTCACCAACCACCTGGACTGGTTCCCTCCAGGTGGAGCAATGCTCCCGACCACCGGGTGGGCAAGCCGTCCACCTTCCACTGGCCAGGAGCATCTGGCCAGCCCTGGTAACTGTGTTGGCCAAATCCCTGCAACTCCTGCAACCTCCCCCTGATGTGACCCATCTCTCACAAAACAAAGTCACCTACAAAATGGAGCAGCATTAGTCAGGACTCTTCACTATTCATCCATAAGAAAGAAACAAATCCTACCATTTGCAACAAAATGGATGGAGCTGGAGGACATTATGCTCAGTGAAATAAGCCAGGCAGAGAAAGACAAATGCTAAATGATTTCCCTCATTTGTGAAGTATAACAATGAAGCAAAACTGAAGGAACAAAATGGCAGCAGACTCAGAGACTCCAAGAATGAACTAGTGGTTACCAAAGGGGAGGGGTGTGGGAGGGCGGGTGGGGAGGGAGGGAGAAGAGGACTGAGGGGTGTTATGTTTAGTACACATGGTGTGGGGGATCACGGGGAGAACAGTATAGCACAGAGAGGGCACATAGTGGATCTGTGGCATCTTGCTGCACTGATGGACAGTGACTGCATTGGGGTGTGGGTGGGGACTTGATAATATGGGTTAATGTAATAACCACATTGTTTTTTCATGTGAAACCTTCATAAGAGTATATATCAATAGTACCTTAATAAAAAATTTAAAAAAGAAAAGAAAAGTAAAAGAATGAGGCTGTTCTCCATACTGATAAGGAAAGGTCTTACAAGATATACTGCAAAGTGAAAAAAACAAGGTTCAGAACAGTGTCTCTATTTGTGTGAAAAATACGTATATGTGTATGTGCATTGGATTTTAAATGCTAGAATATCTCCGGAAGGGATCACGAGAAACTAGGACTGGTAATTGCCTCGTGGAGGAGACTGGATATTTGGGAACAGGGAAGGGAGGGACACCTGCTTTTCTTTGTATTCCCTGTTGAACCTTTGGAATTTTGAACTATGTCCCTATAATTAAGTAAATAAAAAATGTTAAAGCATAGTTCTAAAACTGGAAGCAAAACAAGCCATGAAACACACCCTTCCTATATGTATACACATGTGTTGTGCAGAAAAAGAAAAGGACACCAAACCAGGGCAATGGTGGAAGGTCTCTTGGACAAGGGGTAGTCAGGGGTGACCTTGATATTATCTTGTTTGAATTTTATGTTTATATATATTTTTAAATTACAAGGGTTACTTAGATTTTTATACAATATTTATGTAAGTTGTTGCATTATTTAAAATACATTTTAATTTTTTAAAATAAAATGTTGATATACTATCTTATGCTGGTTTCAAACGTACATCACTAAAATACATTTTAATTTTTAAAAATAGACTTCAGGTAGATAGAACACAACCACACTAAGACAAAGGAGTGTGGCTAACCTTCCTTCTTCTGGAAGATTCATGTCATGCCCTTTATCCCACCTGCCTTTCCCCAAAGACACCCTGGCTCAGGAGGGACCTGAGCTACTCCCAACGTCTTTCCACAGAGGCTCTCCTGTCACCTCTCCCCCACTTGGCTCCCTGTCCCCAGGGTTCTGGACTGAGAACCAAAGTCAGTGAAACATAGGGTCATGGTCCAGAGGGACCCACCAGCACGAGGCTGAGCAGGCCAGCCCAGGAAAACTGGGACTCTGGCTCTGATACCTCTCTGTTCACTCCCTTCAATGCTCCACCCCTCTTCCCAACCTCCCGATTTGTGTCTCTCTCTTTGTTCAGTGGAGAGAAGGCATCTGAAAAACCCATCCAACTAGATGTGTAGGGATTTAGTGTCCCATCCCCTTCTTGACTAGTTGTATTTTAGGAGGCATTTAAAAAGGCCAATGCCTAACTGTAAGAGAAGACACAGTAATGGTGGAATGTCTGGCACTAGTGAGGAAGGGATCCTGAGGCAAAAGGGCTTTCACATCACACTTAAGTCTTGTTGACAGGCAATTTCGAATAGGGCTTAACTATATAATCTCTGGAGCCAGGCTGACAGGATTCACATCCCACTTAGTAGCTGTCATACTTTGGGCAGATAACTCAAACTCTCTGTGCCTCAGTTTTCAAACCTGCAGGATGGGAATAGTAAAAAGTAGTTCCTCATAGGATTGTTGTGAAGCTATGAGATATTACATAAAAAACCTACAGAACACCTCCTGGAACATAGAAAGCAGTCAATAAATGTTAGCCATGACATGTATTACTTACACAAATACATTTCTTTTAGAGGACAGAACTGGAAATCTTTGAAATTCCCTGAAGAAGAAAAATTAAATCTGGCAAGTCAATAAATCATCCGGAAATAGAGCAAAGAAGTATTAATCACTAGCTTTCTAATCCAATCCAAATCAGAAACAGTTGTCACAATAGAGGAAGTTCTATAATAAAAGTCTAAGAAAAATGATGTTCTGACCAAAATCTGTGACAAATTCAGCTAAAAGATGGAAAACATCTAACCTGGGAGTTATGAACTGCGAAACTTGCCCTTCTCAAATGACTTGATCAATGATGACTTTATACATGTAGGTGACTGGTCACATTGTATTTCCTTAACTAAATTGAATAAATATACTTCAATGTTCCTTTTTTTTTCATTTCAAACCAACTTTGTAGAGGTATGAGTTTTGACAAATATGTACACCCATGTAACCAATACCACAATCAAAATATAGAACATTTATGTCACTCCAGAAAGTTTCTCATTGTCCTTTTATTCAGTCCTTCCACCCACTCCCAGGTAGCTATTGCTCTGCTTTGTTGGTATGTATAGCTTTTGTCTGTTCTAGAAGTTCATATAAATGGAATCATATGGTATATACTCTTTGCATCTCATTTCTTCTGTGTAGCATGCTACCTTGAAGTTCATCCATATTTGTTGCAGATATTAGTAGTTTATTCCTTTTTATTGCTGAATTGTGTGAATATACCACAATTCTATTAACTTTACATACTAGATTTTAAGAGAATAAAGGTTGACTGAGTTTGAACTCTAGGAGGAGAAGGTGAAGAGGGAAGAATTGGAGGTAGAAGCCTCAAGTTCCTGTCCTGTCCCTTTCACTCACTCATTTTGTTACTTGGGCAAATCCTTCTCCCTTATTCAGGCTTCGGTTTCCTCATCTGCAAGCTTAGGGTACTAGATGATCTTTAAACAACCATTCCAAGCAATTACATTACAGGTGGAAGGGTTTCTTCTCCTATAAGAAGGCATATTTTTTGAAGGCTCCCTAGTAAGGTCCTGCCCCCAGGAGCTTAGAATAGATCCAGTAAATTCCTTTGGCAGAAAGGGAGGACAAAATTTGCAGAAAACCAGACAAGCACATGGAGAATAAGCAGGGAGACCCCAGGTAAATCTAGGAATTGGTCAATAAATATTTAAACTCCATCCAGAACCTCTATCCCTGGGTTTTCTGCCAAAAGCTCCTGATGGTAGACTTTTGGCTAGAATCAAGGGAGTTGGGCCAGGAGGATTTTATGGAGCAGGCAGCGTTCTGAGGACATCAGAGAGCAGGCCATGGTGAAGGGCTGAGGCTGCCACTCCAGGCCTAGAGGGTAGGGTGGGTAGAACCAAAGGAAAGCGAGATGGGAAAAGCTTGATCCAGAGATACCATTGAGCCCAAATACCCCCAGAACATGGATAAATTCTGGGGGCCCACATGGCTCAGACTTAGTACCTTCAATGTCACATTCAAGAGCTGCAGTATAAAGAACAAATTGTTGAAAACAAACTCAATTTCAGCTACAGGGGACTGACTGGATAACTTTATCCCTACTATAATATAATGAAACAGTACATGTCTGTTAAAGAATAAGGCAGCTCTGTATGTACTATCAGGGACAGGGTTCCAAACTGTATTGTTAAGTTAAAAGAAGTAAATTTGAAAACAATGTGCATAGTACACTATCATTTGTGTTCAAAACAGGGAGATTGTATATACCTTTATATTCTTGTATATTCAGAGAATATTTCTGACAATTCACACAATAAGCTGGTAACAGCAGTCACCCCTGAGGAGTGAAGTTGATTGGATGGTGCTGGGGTGGAAATATCCTCTTGTTCTCTGGGATTTTGAGTCATGTGAATGTTAACCTATTCAAAAATAAATAAAAATGTATTAAATTCAAGAAAAATAGCTCAACTCCTAAAAGTAATTTTAAAATGACTACTATTTATTTGTAACTCTCAAGACATCAGAAAGTCTGTAATCCTCTCATGCCTCACTGCTGCCACTCAGTGTTCCCCACTCACCAAACCTGTCACTTTTCATTAAAAACTAGCCTCCTAGGCCCTTTTCCACAACCTTGTTTTTTTTTTTCCTTCCCTCTTCTCTCACCTCTCCATTCTGTGTCTGTCACCCTGCTATCCCAGTTCCATATCTCAAAAGCCTATAAAAGCAGTCAGACAAGATAAAACTTCTTTAGAAAGCCATGGGCAGAAAAAAAGTGAGCAGGCAAAGGAATTCCCCGTCATACTCCCATTGTACAGACAAAGAAACAGAGGCCTATAGAGGGATAGTCACCCCAAGTCCCATAGCAAGTCAGAAACAGAGCCAAGACAAGGATGCAGGGCTCTTATATGAAATCATATTCCGGGCCGTTCAGACTAATTGCCCCAAGGCAAGCTTCTGCTCATCCTTCAAAGCCTAATTTAGATGTCCTCTCTTCCAGCAAGCCTTCCTTGAATCCCGTTTTGTTTTTTGGGTGGGGTTATTTCCCTAGCACCTTGTCCAACCCACCTTCCTATCCTTAATTTCCTGGTACTACAATGTTTCTGATTATGTTTCTGAATGAGCTCTCAAGTATAGAAAAGTTACTTTCTGTCTCCCAGAAAGTTACTAGGCATTCCTCAGTGTGTGGTGAATTGAAAGTGTGCAGGGCTCTACGACAGAGGCAGACTGTGTTTTGAGGGCTTTAAGTGGGGAGAAGTTTTACTTTTTTCCAAAGAGATCTTGGAGAACTTCCCAGAGGAAGTGCCATTTGGCTGATATATACCCTGGAGTTGCATCCCATATACTCAAATTACTCAGTTACAACTATATAACTTTGGAAAAAGAAAAAAAAATAGGAAAAATGATTTTTCCCAGTTATAACACTATTTCTTACGAGTTTCACAAAAATATTTACACTAAGACAAAATTTACCAGAGTAAAGTTAGTAAAGTTAGTATTTCAAGCTGCTTCTTCACTTTCACGCAAAAAATTTTTTCAATACATGTGTAGCAGTTTTCTGTTACTGTGTAATAAATCTCCACAAACTGAGGGACTCATGACAACACCCATTTACAGCTCACCGTTCTATATGTCAGAAGTCCAGGCACAACTCTGGGTTTTCAGCTCAGGGACCTACAAGGCTGAAATCAGGGTATTGGCCAGCTGTGTCCTCACCTGGAGATCAAGTAGGGGAAGTCTGCCTTCCAGGGTCCCTCAGGTTGTTGGCAGAAGTAATTTTCTTGTAGCCATATAGCTGAGATTCCCATCTTGCTATCTTTAGCTGGTGACCACTGTTAGCTTCTAGAGACCCCTTTTGGGTCCTTGCCATGTGGCTCTCTCCACAAAATAGCAGTTTGCTCCTTCAGGGCCAACATGGGAGTGTCTGCTCTTTAAGAAAATGATTTTATGTTAGGAGGTACTAGATTTTTCACATATGGGCTTTGTAATTTTTATGCTATTCATTATTGTATGCATATACACATACAGTATCTCTCTTTTTGGCTATTGTATAAATATTTTTAAATTACCAAATGTACATTAAGTGGTTCAACAGTCCCCCTTCCTCCCCACCCCCATCCACTCCTCTTCCCCTTGGTAACCACTAGTCACTTCTCAGTGTTTATGAGTCTAGTGCTATTTTGTTCCTTCTGTTTTGCTTTGTTTTTATATTCCACAAATAAGTGAAATCATATGGTATTAGTCTTTTTCTGCCTGGCTTATTTCATTGAGCATAACACCCTCTAGGTCCACCTATGTTGTTGCAAATAGGAGGATTTTTTCTTTTTATGGCTGAATAATATTCCATTGTCTACATGTACTACATCTTCTTTATCCATTCATCTACCAATGGGCACTTAGGTTGCTTCCATATCTCGGCTATTGCAAACAGTGTGGAGATAAACATAGGGGTGCATTAACTTTTTGAATCAGGGATTTTGTTTTCCTTGGGACACATACAATATTTCTATACATAATTGAACATACAGAAACATGCACTGACACTTATTAGCTCTGTGATCTTAGGCCTGAGCAGTCTGAGCCTCAATTTCCTCATCTGTAAATTGCAGATAACAACAGTGTCCATCTTGGAGTGTTACAGGCACATAGTAAGTGCTCAGTAAATATAAGCTGCTGATTACATTAGTTTTGAAGAATAGAGAGGGTCTAGACACAGGAGATTAGATGGGTGAGACAGGGTTCCCTAGGAGGAAGAAACTGCAAGAGTAAAATCCTGGAAATGGGAAAACTGGTGGTGGTTTGCAATGTAATCATTTGCATGGTGTGTGTGTGTGTGTGTGTGTGTGTACAAAGAAGGCTACAAGAATGGGTGAGGGCAGTTTCAGTCATCCCTGCAGTCAGTACTTCCTGAATGCTTTTGTACCAGGTGCCAGGAGAGGATGCCTGGTCAGCAGTGTGAACTGTAGCCTGGAGGTAGTAGGGAGCAAAGGCAAAGCTGTGCTCAGGAAAGGGCACTGGTCTGAGCATCAGGGAGTCCATCTGGTCCTAGGAGAGTGGCTAGTTCAGCAGGTGGGAACCCAGCTCTCCACTCTCTCCTCTCCAGCCTCAAAGCTGGAGGGATACAACCATTTCCCTCTAAAAGTTCTAAATGTGGGAATTCATGCAGGGCACCCACACCAGAGCAACTCACTTGGATACTTGTCCACATTCACAAACACATCCATGGAACCCCAAAGTCACCATCATACCCTCACACTGTGAGTAAATGAACTAAAGTTAAGCCAGGCATCTGGCTTCCTGCCACCTCCCTCCCTCTTCCTGAAATAAATCCTGTCCTGATCATCACCTCCCCTTTGTCAGGGGCATTAAGCATAGTTCACACAAACAGACCTGAATGCCTGAAGGTTAGGGTGGAGGTACTGTTTAGGAATCATGAAGCCAGCCATTTTGCAGATGGGAAAACTGAGGCTCAAAGAAAGTGATTTTCCAAGGGTCAGGCAGACAGTGAGCCCAGGGTAGAATCAAGATTGAAATCTGGATATCCTGACAATCAGCTCAGCCCAAGGTCTTTTTCATGGTACACGCACACGCGCGCGTGCACACACACACACACACACACACACACACACAACAGTTATCCTCAGTTCAAACATTTCTGGGTTGAACAACAAAGCTTTCTGAGTAGAAGTTCTGGGGATATGGCCCTTGTTAAGGTGTAGGCCAATCTGTTGGGGGATTCTGGGGATTCTGTTTCCTAGCTTGCTCTACTAATTAAATTTCTTCCCTTCTCTGTTTCTTCACCAGCAAAATTGGAATAATAATATTGCCTACATTAGAGAGTTGTGAAGATTAAATTATTTAATACAGGTAAGGACTTATAAATAACAGTATGTGGCATATAGAAATCCCAACAGAATTGTCATTAATATTAATTATTTAACTCTGTAGATCCTGGGCTAGTTGTAATGTGTGGGTGGTGGTGCTTCTACAGTGATCAGGATTTGCTGGTTTTGATTCAGATTCCAAGCTACTCACTGAGCTTTGTCTCAGCCTTTCCCTCTTTCTTTGAGGGGGAGGGTGGGAAGGGGAAAGGTGAGCCAGTTCTCCAGAGGGCTCATACCTTTGAGTAAACACAAGGTCCCGTGAGGGTCACACCCAAGCTGACACATCTCTGCCCTTTGAAGTGGGGGCCCAAGCACTGGGGAACCCCTAGGGTCTGATGAGGGCAAGCCCAAGGCCCAGACAGGAATAGAAGGGTAGCCTCTTGACATCCACTCCTGGAGCTCATAAAATTGGGCAGGTGCTTATATCTAGGCAGGGATTGGATGGGCATGGGCATCTGATAGCCGTGGGTGTGTGAGCTCATATGCACACGTGTGCATGTTTGTACATGGATGCTTTCATATGTAGGCACAGATGCCCATGTTTATCCATATATGTACACAGGTTTGGCACCTATCTGATTGGAAATGAGACTCCAGGATTACCTCCAGCATGGTGCCCATTGCCTCTTTTTACAGTTCCCAGGTCCATGCCAGGGTCTCAGAATACTAATGGGCAGGATCAGTAGATGGCTCTGCTGTTCTAAAATTCTGAGCAAGTACGCTGACCTCTCTGTGCCTCAGTTTCTCCACCAATAAAATTAGTTTGAATGAATTGAATTCTGAGGTCTCCTCCAGCTCTGATATTAAGTCTCTGTGGTAGAGAGGTATGAGTCCCAGGGTTTTAGGACAGAATTCCACTGGGCTCTAGCCCCCTACGTCCTTGGGTACCCTTGAGTCTACAGAGAAATGGAAGACTTGGATTGCCCTAGCAGCCTGTACACAGGGCTCTTCTAAGGCTGGGAGCAGAATCGAGGTCATTTAGAGTATCAGAGTATATGCCAGGACCTCACTTCCCTGGGTTTGGGGAACCAGAACCCTGTGCCCAACAGAATGACTCCTTTACCAGGGTAGAGGGTCCAGGCGTAGACTCTTGTACCAGCCACCCTTCTTGAGCTGTAACTGCTGAGCCTTTGATTAGAGTCTGCTCTGCCAGGCCCAGCACAGGCTGGGTGAGGGGAGTATATGGACAGAGATTCAGCCTTTAGGATACCAGCCATCCACTTGGGAAGACACATTCACAGAATTAGTCATCATCACTTACTGTCTATTAAACAAATAAATGACTGCCCATCAAGATAGCTCTGGACACAGGTGAGGACAGGAAGGCTACCTAGAGGAAAAAGGAGTTAGTAGAACCTTGAAGACAGGAAGGATATGAATTCAGAAATGCCTAAAAAGAGCATTCCAGGCAGGGGAAAGAGCCTGAGCCAAAGCGTGGCTGTGGGAGAGTATTGAAGACATACTGAGGAGTTTGCCCTTAGCACAAAGTGCATGTAGGAGAAGGGAGGACGCAGTTGGAGAGCTGGAGCTGGAAGGTCATGAACTTTTGGAATGTGGTACTTTGGGAGCCACAGAAGGTTTTAGAACAGGCAAATGGTGTGACAGAAGAGGCGTGCTATGATTATTTAAGTCAGCAAGGAGGCCAAAAGAGAGTATGAGATTAGAAGCAGATGTGATGAGCAAAGGCTCAGGGTTGCACAGAATATTTTGGGGACACCACTACAAGGGCTGTTTTGGCAGTATTTTGCTGATATCTTCTCCCTACCATCCCCCTCCCCAAGCCTCTGGGTATTATTTCCTGGCTCCTCCTGCTAGTTGCTAGGGCTGAGGAATCCCTCTGGGGTTTCAGACTAGGAGCATGAAGCTCCGACCTAGCTTACCCCTGCCTCCTGTTGGGCCAAATGGGCAGCTCTCAGACTCACCCCCACCAGCCCTGCTCTACTGAGAGATGACCTGCACCTCTGGCCCTGGAGATTGAGGATGTGTGTTTGTGGTCTCTCCTCAGGCATTTCCTAGGTCATGGGACTGCCTTGGGTCAAGAACATGGGAATGACAGAATCCTGAGGAGAGTCTGAAAGAATCTCTAGAAGGAAGCTTGGATATATTAAATTTGACAGATAAGGATATCAAAGCCCATAGAGGTAACATAACTTGCTTGAAGTCACACAGCAAGTTTGGGGCAGTCAGACTAGGCCCAGGTTTCCCTGTGATTGCTAAAGCAGTGTGGGGTTTAGATAATCTGGTACATGTAGAGAGTGGAGAGGGTTGGGGCCAGCAATTATAGTTCTAGTCCCGGCTCTGCTATTTACAATAGCTTTGTGACCTTAAGAAGCCGCTTGGCTCTCTGAGTCTGTTTCCTCGACAGGAAAATGGGGATAATACCACCTTTTGGGGTTGTTGTGAAGATCAAAATACATAAAGTGATATAGCACAGTATCTAGCACTCAGTATGTGTTCAATAAATGTTAGTGGTTGGGAGTACCAACAGTGGGTACTCAATAAATATTTGTTGATGTGTTACTGAATATGAATCCACATAACTACACTGAAATCTGTTAGCCTCGGTTTTCCGGGTGTAATCAGGACTAATAGTCCCTGTTCTGTCACTGTTTTGTCCAGCCCCAGTAGCAAGGTGGATTAAATGAAGTATGTAAACGTTCCGGCACAGAGCCGCCTCTATGCCAATGTTTATTCAGCTCAGAGCAACTGCTAAGTTCTACTCTGTAAAAATTTTTCCGTCACTTTAATCAACTCTTCTATACATCCGGGTGCTCCTCTGGAACCAGAAGCACCTGGTTTTGTCCCCCACCTAAGCCTGCCCAGCTGAGGAAAGACGGGGTGGAAAAGCAGAGGGTGAAGAGGGGAGACAGAAAAGGGAGGGGAGCAGAGAGAAGGGTGGTTCAGAGAACGGAGGTGCACCGACTTGGTGTGCAGAAAAGGGTACAGATTAGGGGACCCGGATATAGGACGCAGGTGTAAGAATATAGGGGTAGTGGGAGGGGAGAGAGCGCCGGGACACGTGAAGGGAGTATAGGAAGATGGGGATCCCATAGGAATCATTGACATTCAGTGGGTCGCCCTAGGGCTGGGGGCCAAGCTCCTAGCAGTGGCCTCTCCGGGATGCCCCCTGAAGTTCGGAGTCGGGCTCCGAGACTGAAGCCACCAGCTTGCCAACCATGGAGGGGGTGGGGATGGTGGATCCGCAGCCTGGGATTGGCCACCGTTCCGCCAGCCGGTGACGCGAGGCGGGCGGGCCCCTTTGTGACATCACAATCAGCTGTTTGAACGCTCCAATTTGTGCGGTGAGACGAGCAGCAACGGCTGCAGAAACTCAAAGCCCCGCGGGCGAACGCAGCAGCCGCTAGCGTCCACCCGCAGCCCTGGCACCTCCCCCAGCAACAGCCCCCGCGATGCGGCTCGGCCTGTGATAGATAAGCCGCCAACCCCGGGACGCCTTGCAAGCACAACTACCTCAGAGCCAGCCACGTCCGCCGCGCGACCCCCGCCCCCAGGTGAGTCCGGACCAGCTTTGGCCTGGGGGCTCCCCGCGCCCCGGGACGCTCCCCGGGTCACGCCCTGGCTCCCCGCTCTGGAGTCTTTGTCCATCTCCGCCGGCAGCCGCTGCGACTGCATTCCGCCTCCCGATTGGCTGCTGCATGCACGGTAGACCATGACGTGTCCCTATTTGCATATGACATTGAGACGTCACCAAGGCCGGTACCGCCCCCATTCCCAAACTCGGGTCGCCTGTCCTCCCGTGACCCTACCCTATAGGCGCTGCGTCGGGGCTGGGCCCGTGGTTGACTGCTTCAGAAAGGCAGCGGGACCGGAGGGGCCTCGGCAGTTCCTGGACAAATACAGGGCCTGGGGTCAGGCCTCTACTCCTATACTTATTCCTTGCGACTTGAGAAGGGTTCCGACGGTGCTGCTGGGTCTAGGTTGGCGGATGGGAGTCGTCAGGAGTTCATGGGCGGCCTGGAACTCCAGCTGCGGGTCATTGGGGCAGTGCCAGATGGTGGCTGGCTCCAGACTCTGCACCTCCAGAACTAACATAATGTCCTCCTAATCCCTGATATGTGTGCAGCGCCTTAGCTGACATCACTCCAATCCCATTTCATGGAAGGGAAAACTGAGGCCTGGAGAGGGAAGCAGCTTACTCGAGGTCATCCAGGCAATTAGAGTCATGCCTACTGAGTGACAGATGCATTAGCCATGGGCACATGCCTAGTCGGAGCTCAATACAAATTAACAAGTTACACATCCTTCTTCCACTGGGGTCTCCACCTTGGGCCCAGCACCATCCAAATTTGATAGGGCTCCTAGTTCTCCTCATTTCTCCAGGAGGTCTTTGGAGATTGGGTCCCTTCCATGGCACTGACCCTCATCTGTATCTTGGAGTCCCAGAGCCCAGTAAAATTGCTGCCTCCCAGCTCTTTTGACCACAAAAAGGTGAGTCTTTGGCTGCATCAGTGTCTCCAGGGCTGACTCTGGGGTGGGGTGGGGAGTGAGAGTTCCCCTCTGTTTGGCTCTTTATCACCACCCCAATCTCTAGAGTTGTCAGCTAGGAAAGCTGTGGCCTGTGGCCTGGCCTAGTGCTGGTGATTACAAGGCTTGCGCTGCTCCTCTCTTTGCTCACAGAGGGGCAGGAGAGGGGTAGAAGGAGAGCACATGACTTTCTAAGTAGATGGGCCTAAGGCTAAGCCAGGAGTCCCATCCCAGCCTGGTTTTGCTCAAGGATGGGCTCTGGTAAAGGTGGCTTGGGGCTTAAGTGCTATTCCAGGCACAGCTGCTGTAGTTATTAAAGGAAATGGTTCTCCCCGGAGCAGGGCTGGGAATGTGAGAACCAGGAAGCTGGCAGGGCTGGGAAAGAAAATCTGGGAGGCTCCCCCAGTGGTCTTGAGAGGGAGCGGGCACTGGCTGGCTGGTGCTACTGTCACTCCTGGCTCTGTCACTGACTTGTTGTGTGACCTCGGGTGGGGAGTCTCTCGTCTGGGCCTCCCTTACCTCAATCTGAGGTCATTTGAGAAGGCCCAGAGCAGGTTCTAGTACACAGTGTGAGTGCTTTGGTAAATGCATGAAGAATCTTGGTGTCAGGAACCCCACTGGGCAGAGGGGCTCTAAGGTGGGCAGTGACTGGATCAAGGTTTGACTCCTTTCTGACTTCTCTATCTCCCCTGCGTCATTATATTTTGAGGAATTAACTGTGTACACTCTGGACTGAATTCTCAGGGACCTACAGGTAGGCCTGCCCTGCCACCATCTAGCTGTGTATCTTTGGATAGACTTATGTCCTCTGATGCTCAGGTTGTTAAACAGGTTGATGAATATGAGGGTCCCTAGAACAGCTCTAACTTTCCTTTCATCTTCTTAATGGAGTAGTAAGTCCTTGGAAGGAGGGTGTGTCTCATAAAGGCCTCAGTCTTCTCTTCCTTCATGAGGGGCCATACTTTCTGGATTTTTGATAACTGAGTCACTAATTCCCTGTGGCTATAGATGGGTTGGAATATGTGGTTTCTGCTGGGCAGGCACTAGCTGGGGGTAGACCAACCTTTTATAATCCCTGTGGATCTCCCACTAGGGAAGCTAGCACCCATGGGACACTTCCTTCTGGAGCCCACAGTGGGCCTGCCAATGTGGAAATACTCTCCATGTATAAAGATTATGTGATTCTAACCTCTATGTGGCAAGTTTGAAAACATTCCTAGGGACTGGGAGAGGTATCCACAAGTATAGAAATACTGTATGTGGGCTAGCAGTAAGAGTGGAATGCCTCATGGAATGCAAGTGGGCATGCCCCCAGGGAGTTCTATAGGAACTGTGGAAATATCCTTAGCGAAAGGTGACAAGTGCCTCCGTAGCAAAACTGTTAACCATCTTTTTGGAAGAGACGTGGAGGGTAAGACTTTAGGGACATCCAGTGGACCCCTAGCCCAGGTCTAGTCCTGAGGTAGGCTGAGCTAGGGCAAGGGGCAGATCTACAGCCACCAACTTGGTGTCTGCATTCCTGGAGCAAGGGGTCTCCTTCCTTATCTTCACTCAGGGAAGGACTAATTGAGGGTTTGAGTCCTGGTCTAATACTCAGTGCTCACCCTTAAGGGCTCCTGGGGTTTGATAGTTCTCTGCCTCTATCTATCACCTCCCACTGACCTCCTGTCTCCCTGGGGCCAGGCAACCTGATCCTCCTCCTCACCAAGGATACTGCTCTTGAGCAGAAGCTTGGGAACAAGGGGTAAGAGTGGGGAGGGCCTGTAGAAATAGTATCTTCAACCTCCTCTGACAGACACAACTAGGCCTGCATGATCACATGGTAGTGGTTCTGTGGGATTTCTGCTACCCAGACTCCAGTAGTGGTTCTTAATCTCTGGGATCACTGAGTGCTCTTTAGGAAATCCTGATGGGAATCAAGGTCCTTCTTCCCAGAAAAATACATATGGACCATGGCCCTTGACCACCAAGTTAAAATGCCTAATCTAGACAGACACTCAGCAAAGGTAATGAAGTACAGTGATTATTGGGTGCTGCCTCTGGAATCTAACTTGAATTGGTTCAAATCCTATCTCTGTGTCTTACCAGCTGTGAGACTTTGGTCAAGTTACCGTACCTCCCAGAGTCTCAGTTTCTTCACCTGTAAAAAAAGGATAATAATTATACTTACTTACTAAACTTGTGAGGATTACATGAGGTGATAAAGGTAAAGTTCTTAGTACAGTACCTGGCGCATGAATGTTATATATATTGTGTTGATGATAACAAAAATCACAATATTAGACATTTTCTTCCTTGCCTGGAGAACTCTTATTTATCCTTCAAGATCCATCTTGGGTGGTCAATACTCCAGAGGACTTCCTTGATGGAGTCTGGTAATATATATACCTCCTTCATGTCCCTAGAGCATGCAATAATACTCATAACTAGTTGAATAGTTTATTGAATGCTTACTTTGTACCCAGATATTGTTTTAAGCATTTTGTGTTTAGCTCATTTAATTCTTGTTAGAGCCCAGAGAAGGATACTATTATTAGTGCATTTCATTCTTGTAAGGGCCCAGAGGAGGGTACTCTTTGCCATTTGACAGACAAGAAAACTAAGGCACAGATAAGTTAAAGAAGTTCCTAAGGTCACACAGAAAAGAGAAAAGCCTGCAATCAGGCTGACTTACCAGAAAGCATACATACTGCAAAGCTTCCACACATAGCCCCCAGGTAGTGGAGGTGGACTTCAGTTGGTGGTGGTGCTGACTCCCGTCTACGCCTCCCAGGTTTCTGCATTGCCGTAGAGCGCCCCCCTGAGGCTGCTTCACTCCCTCACCATGTTCCAGCGCCTCACCAGCCTCTTCTTCAGCACACCCCCGCCTCCCGAGGACCCCGACTGCCCTCAAGCCTTCGTCTCCGAAGAGGATGAAGTGGACGGCTGGCTCATCATTGATCTGCCGGGTGAGGCCTGCGTCGGACGCCAGGACTCTGACTCTGGCTCCTGGGCCTGTGAAGGGCAGGTGACCGAGCAGCAGATGGGAAGGGAGCTATTGGGGGACTGGGGACCTCCCTCAGGCCTACTGGGCAAACGGGGGCTGAGGCAGTGACACAGGAGGTGGGGTAACAGGGCCCCACCTCATGCAAGCGCGGGCCATCTCCTGGCGGCCCAGGGTTTGGGCTCACACCTCATGTGCCTTAGGGCAGCCAAGACGCCAGTTCTGGGTGCACGTGAAAGCGGCGGGCGGGGTGGCGGGTCCGACTAACGTCGCCCTTTCTCTCCCCGCCCATCTGTGTCCCGTGTGTGTGTGTGTGTGTGTATGTGTGTGTGTGTGTGTGTGTGTGTCCCGCCCCGCTGCGCCCCCTCCTCCGCATGGCTCCCCCTCCCGCGCCCCGTAGACAGCTACGCGGCTCCACCCAGCCCCGGGGCCGCCCCTGCCCCCGCGGGCCGCCCTCCGCCCGCGCCCTCCTTGATGGACGAGAGCTGGTTTGTTACCCCTCCCGCCTGTTTCACTGCAGAGGGGCCCGGATTCGGGCCCGCTCGCCTCCAAAGCAGCCCCCTGGAGGATCTCCTCATCGAGCACCCGAGCATGTCCGTTTACGTCACCGGCAGCACCATAGTGCTGGAGACTGGTCCCGCTTCCCCGCACCCCGAGGCTGCCCTGCCTGACCGCGACCTCAGCGAGGGGTGAGCGGGCCGGGGGCGGAGCCCGGAGGCCTAGAGGCGTGGCTTAGAGGCCCGGCTCCCGGCCTGGGGGAGTGAGCCCTGGAGCCCGCCCCGCACTGATAACGCCCGAGGCGTCTTCCAGGCAAAGGGTGTGGACTAGCCCAGGAGCCTGGCTGAGGGCAGAGAGGCGGGGCCTTGGATGGGGCGAGGCAAGACCTCGAGGCCGAGGCGAGGCCTGGGAGGGAAGAACTAGGTGGCCTACGGGGTCTGGAGGTGGGAGGGGCTAGGCCGGAGCGCCGAAGGGGTGCCGTCTGTAGAGGCTTGTACTGTGTGTAGGGCAGGGCCGAACTGGGGTTTGGAGCCAAGCTTGCTCTGGGGTTTGGTTTACCTGTCACGGGAGTTCGAGCCGGGGAAGCACCTCAGTTGACTTGGAGGAAGGGCTGGTATAAGCAGAGGTAACACTGTGCCGAGGGAAGGTAGGGGGCGGGGTGGGGCGGGAGGTGGGAAGTCCCATCGCACTCCTCCGTCCCCCAACCTGTCCAGCCATGACCGAGCCCTGCTCTGTCCCCGCAGGGAGTTGGCGCCCGCCCGTCGGGAGCCCCGGGCCCTGCGCCACGCCGCCGCCCCTCTGCCTCCGCGGGTTTCTCTGCTGGAGAAGGCGGGCCAGGCTCGGTGGCAACAGCGGGCTCGGCAGCGGGCGGAGCGCCACGCGCTGAGTGCCAAAGTGGTGCAGCGGCAGAACCGCGTCCGCGAGAGCCGTCCGCGCCGGCCCAAGCACCAGGGCAGCTTCGTCTACCAGCCGTGCCAGCGCCAGTTCAACTACTGAGCGTCTTCCAGCTGAGCCGCAAACCTCTCGCGGACTCCCGACCCCTGTCGGCCCCTCCGCCGCAGCCAGTGTGCTGCTCGAGCGGCGCTCGCAGCCCTACCGGGTCTGGACACCATAGCCTCCCTCTTTTAAGTGTGAGGTCGTGTGGTGATAGCCACCCTCCTCCACTCTCCCTCAATTTCCCCATCTCTGATCCTCAATCTGCTTCTGAACCCCACCCCCACCCCTCACCCTCCCTCTTTCTGGCCCCCATATCACAGCATCTAATCCTCCATCTCTCCCTCCCCTGACACACTCCATCCCTCTCTGGTCCCCTTCCCCATCTTTGACCTGCCATCCCCCTTTATGCTTGTCCTCCAGTCCTCTAACCCTGGCCCACTCCTATTTCTGAGTCTTCTATCAGTCCCAGATCTGGCACTTTCCCCACCATAACTCCCTCCTTACAAGCCTCACCCTGTCTCATGTTTGGCACTACACTCACTCCGCTTCCTGATTATTCATTCCCAGTAATTCCTTTCTAAATGAATTGGGAGCAGGGGGAGACTAAATAATTCTTCAGTCTCCCCCCTTCCCTCTCCCCGGGGCTGGGCTCTTTGGAGTTGCTTAGGCCTGGAATGGTGAAGTATGTGGAAGAGAACTGTGATATGTGTGTTAGAGGGAGAAGGTGAAGGGAATCGCGGGGAAGAGGCAGCCTATTGGAAATACAGACAGGACAAGTAGATTGAGAAGCTGTAGTAAGCAAGGAGTCATGGGAGCTGGCAGTGTTTGCTCAGAGATGCCAAGCCCTGCTCTCAGGTTGGACTCTGGAGTCTGCCCCCACTTTCCTTTCTTGTAATCCCACCTCCCAAATCTTCCTGAAATTTACTCCTCTGCAGTCTCCTGAGTCTCAAGGGCTTAGTTAAGTACCTTGCCGTCCCACCCCCAATATGTCACCCCAGGAATAGAGGCTGGGCAAGGCCCTTCCATCCTGTCAATCTGTTCACATGCCCAAGGTGCTAGAACTAGCTTAGCAGAGTTGCAGGTCAGAGGGCTTCTAGGCAGAGGAAGTGTACACCCAAGTAAGAATGCAGAGGAATGATACTTGGGAGCACAAGCTGTAGGGTGAAGCTATCCCGAGACTGACACTCAGCCTTCATCTTGCCTCTGACACTGTATTTCAAACCCTGCCCAGGAAGGCTAAAAAACCGTGGGTAGGAGACCAAGAGCTCACTGTCCCAATCCCCAAATAATCCCTATCCAGGTTCAGGTTCCCCCAGGGCTCTCTTCCTTTTTAAAGGCTGCTGGGAAGAAATGGGTGCCCTATGGTTCCTCTCTCCTTTCATCTACTAAGAACCTGGATGAAGGAACACGAATTCCTAGGTAGGACATGGGACAGGCAGCCAGCTTTCTCCTCCTTGTGGTGGAACTGAATTTTGGGCTCAGACACCAGCAGCAGCCTCTTGGGATGCCCCAAGTTGCTTCCCTTTTCTTATGTCCTTTTCTAGTGCGTGCTCTTTCTTCCTTGAAACTTAAGATTTCCTGTTACATACTCACATAGGTCTGTCACTTTGCCCCCGTCCCAGGTTTTCAGGCCTTACAGCCAAGCTGAGGCTTGGAGAAAACTGCAATCCCATGAGGGCAAAGGCAGCTGCCCTCCCTGACCCTACAGCCCCAAGCCTCATGTGGGATGTATGGGTAAGGGAGGGGTAGCCCCATGGATGCCAGGATGGGGACAGAGGAAGCCCTGGTGGGTCTCCCATCCAAAGGGGTAAACCAAGTCTATACTAAAAAAGCAGATCAATGTCCCAATGCCAGTCCACTAGGGCCCCAGTTGCTGACAACCTTGCTCCTCTCCCCAAGATTTTCCTTCATTTATGACCTGGTCACTTCACAGCCATCTTAGGGTCTTCAGAGCTTCTGCTGAAACTCTCCAACTCTTCCTGCCCACTCCTTTGCTACCAGCTGGGGCCTAGGCTGTCCTAGGCAGTGCCCATCATCCTTCTAGTGGGGGAAGAGTGAGTTATAAGGCATTTGGCTCAACTTTAAAAAGGTCCCTCCCTTCCTTGCCCACATTTCTGGAGGCTCCTCTAGTTCTAAAACCCTCCAATCTCATCACCTGGCTGGTTGCAATACTTGTTTTTTGTACTTTCCTATAGATTCTGTAGCATTTGAGTGTGGCAATATTTTAATTGTGTATAGATTTCTAAGAACCAACACTACTCAGTCTCCTGCTAGTCTGACTCCTGAAGCATCAGACCTTATCATGCTGTATTGACTGTGTATGTGCCTTTCACCTTGAGCATGCTTCAGGATTTTTATTTTTAAACCACAGAACTTGAATACATTAGGGAACCAGAATTCACAAAGTCCTATGCAACCTTAGACAGGAGGGGGTTAGAGAGTCTGTCTTGACTAATGTTTTCCGAGACCCTAGAGAAGTTTGTGAGTATTACTGTTAATACTACCAGCAGTTTGCCAAATCTGAGTATGTCAGAGGGACCTGTTTCTATAGTGAGTCTCAATTACATCAAAGGATGACTTACAGTAACTCCCCAAGACGTACGAGTGCTCTCCTCAAGCTGGGTGTTATTTTCCAGCCTTAGCCAGTCTGGCCCCAGCAGAGTACCATGTGTGTATGAATGCTGTGCTGTTCTGGAGTATGCCTGCTCCCTAAACCCTGCCTGGAACCCTGATCAATTTGCTCTGACCCATGTCTTAGGTGCAACAAGGATCCCAGACCCCTCCAGAGCTCTTGGATTACTTCTTAAAGCCATGAGGCTTTATGTGAGGGGACCAAGTGCAGACACACCATTGTTCCTTTCATCTTTCCTCTTGCCCTGCCACCTAGTTCCAAATGGAACCAACAAGTTGAGTGCATCCCTCTTGGGTGTTTTGTGTTGAGACTGGCTGAAAGGAGGAGACTGGTTGACCATGTGTGATGTGTCAACAGACTCAAGGACACAACCACCTCGACCTGGTCACGTGGCATGTCTGTGTATGTGTGTAACAGGATTCTGATTGTTAGACTGTAATGTTATTCCTCTATGGGAAAAAAAATTAATATAAAGAAAAACAAATAAAAATCTATTTAAAGCACATTATGCTTTCTGCCTGAGTAGAGCTAAAGCAGGAGAAGCACTTTGCAATCTCAGGCACATTATTAGTATAGGGCAATATTATTAGGCTGGCTTTGGTTCTGGTTTTATCTGTCATACAGGGAAAGAAGAGGGTGGTAGGTAAGCTTGCTGGAAATGGGGCCAATGAGGGGTCTGAGTCATAAATAACTCTACTTTTAGAGGGTTCCTATAACACAAGACATGTATTAGAGATAGTTGAAACATGAGAATAATGACAGAAAATCACCGACTCATCCTTTTGGTCTCAGGCACTGGGTGTGGCAAGGGCGAGGGGCCACTGCAGGGGAAGGGATGGAGTGTCTGTCTAGCTATAGGCCGTGCAGCAGAAGGTCGAGGCCCAGACCAAAGCAAGGATGGGGCCCCAAGCACTGGGGTCCCCTGAACATTGGTGGTGAGGTGGGGGCAGAAGCAGCTAGTTTAGAGGCTACACATTTTTAGGTTAAAAACTGAACCAGAAAAGGGAAAAACCTGGGCATGCTGATGAGAAGCTGATAGAGATGAGAAACAGGGCGGCTAAAAAGTGGAATGCAGTGGACATCATTGAAGTATGTAACACAAAATGACCACTTTTATTTAGGAATTGCCTCTTCTAGTCACAGAACTGGACTAAAGATGGAAAGTTGACCTAAACTGGCCTAGATTCTTGATACTGTTATACAAAAAATCTTACTGGTCAGTCTGTTTATCTTTTGAATAGAGAAGGTATAATTAGAGTTGTTTTGGAGAAATCCATCATATGCATGGAGAAGCAGATGTATGAGGTGGAGAAAAATTGCTATCTGGGTTACTGATAGCTTCATGTCCCTAGAAAATCCCAAGTGGCCTTGATCCTTAAGTTGATTCTGTTATGTGCAACCAAAATTAATTTGACTGACATATACCAAAGTATCTGGTACAGTGCTAAAAGGGTAGTTTCTTCAAAGCCAAGAAGGAATTGAGTGAGCAAGTATGTTCATTTTCCTCAACTTTCCAGGTGCATGAGGAAAAGAAGGGATTCTGATTCACAAAGAAGGCTGCTCCTATTAATTTGTGGTCCAAATCAAGAACTTGCTCACCCAATAATCCCTTACCAATCACATACATTTATGTTCTAGGACAGTGACATTTATTTAACACATTCAGTATTTCACATTGTACAAACCCTTAGATTCTCTTTATTCACTGGTCCATTTCTACAACAAATACATCCAAAACACTATATAATAAAATTATTTACAACATTTCCATATGAGAAGACTCCTGTTGCTCCCACCACTGCTGTTCACACACAGTACTTCCACAGCACAATACATCATTAGAAGATCTAAAAATGCTCACCCTGTACTATAGGCTGCTTAGGAAATGTGAAAACTAATAACATAATCGTATTAGCTCCTTTCAATACATGGCAACATTTTAGAAAGCTTGAACTTCATCTGGCAACACCAAAAAGGTTCAACAACTCTGCTTTCCCCCATTGCACTTTAAGAAACGGGTTGCAGGGACTAGGAAAAGGGCCACATTATTAAAATGACTATCTGTACAGAAATGGATTTTAAAAAGTCACAGCTCAAAATTGCTTTTTGTAAAATTCACACACATTTACAAGTATCAAGTCGCCATCCAGCTTGTTTACTTGGATTTTCTTCGCTTGGATTGCACTGCACTGGTTATGTCTGTTGGGGGAAAGGAAGTACACGTTCAGCTGAGGCAACTCTTCACAGCAGTGCTTTTAGGCAGTCCACAAAAACCAGGGGGACCTAAGTGGAGTCCTACTGGCCTCTGAATCAGTCTAAGGGCCTCCAAAGGGGCACTTCGTGTGCAGTGTCCCAAATTTCTGTGGGAAAAGGGTATGGTCCTATATTCTAGGGCCTGGGAACTGGGGAAATGTGATACAGGTGGCAGGAGATGACAGCACTGGAAAAAGTGGCAGGGTGGGAAGAGCTTCTTTAGCTGGGCAATTAACCCCACAATCTCCATCACCCAATGAAATGATGGTAGTGAGAACTCAATAAGTGAAGGTACAAGCGAGTAAACTGTCAGAGGGCACAAATCAGCCTCTGGATCCCTTCCGAAGTCAAGCCATTTTTCTTTTTTTTTTGCAATAAGGAACTCTTTTTGCCTTGCTACAGTCAAAGTCCCTAAACATGACCATGACCCAGCAACCCATGGTCAACAAGTGTCTAGGTATACCAAAGCTGTGGATACATACAGACATGGAGGCAGTTCAGAGCAAGCCACAGCCTGTTCTGGAGGCCAAGGTGAGCCAAGGGGCTTCATGGATGAGGTGGGATCTGAGTGATTTACACACAGGGTTAACTGTGACATAAAATGGGAGTGTTTTAATTCCTTTAATTCCTCTTGTATTATCATAGTGTCTTAACTCGTCTTATCCCATAGTTAAACTGTTTTCTCAAAAATTTTCCACATGTCTTCTACAGCAGAGTACAACGAATAGCTTGAGGTTCTCCAAATGCAAACATTTCTTTAAATCTCATATTGATTTTAAAAATTCATCCTCATTCTTTATGCTCCTCCACAGTAGATACTTTGATTTTAATATGAAAATAATGTTTTAAAATTACTTCCCATCAAGGAGGGAAAAAAAAGTCTTCTATCTAACTCATTAATGTGTAAAATGGATCAGATTTATCCATGTCTGGGAACTAGGATGAATTTTTTGATGCCATGTGTTAGGTTCAGTGTTCTAGGCAATTCTTATTTTTTATAATAACATTTTGAGAACCCAGACTCAAATGGTAGGTGCAAAAAGCAGACGTTTTACTGCTCTGTTAGCTATCATAGTAGCTGAGACACGAGGCCTCCATGAGATGACCTGTACAGAGTTTCTGGGCTTCTGTTGTAAGTTTTAATACGTGTATTTTCCTGCTGGTGCCATGTGCTTGTGCCATGTCACGGAATCAGTCACTCTGATCGACTCACTAGAGGACAATTAATCTGACAGGATGTTGTTGCTAATGGTGTTAATTCCATGTACAAACTAAGATTCTCACACAGCACATACGTCCTCATAATCAATTCTCAAACTTCATTTTCACTGTAGCAAACCTGTCACTTGCAGTAAAAATACACAGAATTTTATCTTACTAAGTGTTCACTCTTAGAAAAAATATCTGTTCCTTTGTGATAATGAAGGATCAAATGGTGTGCTGAGGAACACATTCATTGTTGGGAAAAGAGGTGAGGAGAGGGTGGGGGGTGGGGTAATCAACCTCAGGCTCTCCCTCTCCCTCCTCCTTCCCAGCTTGTTCCCATCTGTCACTGCTCCAAAGCACCCAGTGATTGGTAGGCTACCTCTGCTACTGAGAATGAATCAGTGAGTGGGGTCTTGAGTAAACAAGCAATTTGTGCTAGAAACTGCAAAAAAAAAATTTTAGATACTGGGTGGTAGGTGGGAGTGATGGTGTAGAGGGTACATTAATATTTCTATGAGGAAAAAACTATCAGTCTGATTTGAAGTCTCTTATCACCTCCCCTGGATAAATCTAGCCAATCTGGGTCATAGAGCAAAGTCACTTTTGATGTTTTTATGAATCTGTCTGGAAAGATAATTCCACTCCTAAGCCCCTACAGTCAATACCATACTGGCAAAAAAAATCACATGCATTGTTGGAAAATTCTGTTTTTTAAATCCTCAAGGATTTTACAAATTAATGTCTTCATGGATATATAAATAGTCCAAAGACTAATAGTGTATATAATTTACATTAGTATTTTAGAACCAACCATATGGTAAAGAACTGGATATAGTTCTTTAATATTTAAAAAACTCAGTAACAGTCTTTCAGGTGGTTGTCCATATATGTCCTCAAGGGAAATTTGAATTTGTATTTTGTTGAGGACATTTTTCCAGCCTGGTTGCCTCATTTTGACCATAGCAAATTTGACCAAATCTACAGTACAAGGCCCTGTTAAATCTTCCAGTATGTGGTCTTTACCTTCTGAGGAGTTTTAAAAATTGATCTTGACCTTGCTTACTTCACTGTGCTTTTTACTGTACTACTTCTAGACAAGATTTCTTTATACTTATAAAAAAAATTCTGAAAATATCCTTTCAAAATTTGAGTGGCTGGTTTCTAAATGATGCTACAAGTGTTCAGTTTCAGACAGTTATTGTTCAGGGCTTTATCTCCACAATAATAACACTTCTATTTTAAGAATATCCGTATACATTCAACTCTGCGTTTTTGTAGATTGTAGCTTCTCAAGTCACTGGCTGTGGGTAGGATAGGGCTATCACCCCACTTTGCTGTCAGAGGCATCTTAGGACACTCCAGGGACACCCACAGCTGCTGTTTATTACAGGTCACTCTGAACTTCCCTATTAGCATATTTTCTTGAGTCTCAAACTTACACATTAAACTTTAAAGTTTAACTACTGATCCTTTTTGTCAGTTGAAAATATAACAGAAAACTATTATGAGTATTAAGAGTAAATAAGGAATGACAAGGGAAACTAGAAAAATTGTATCTGTGTTAATGGGGAACTCGTGTCAGGAAGCAGAACTACTACTCATTTGCATATTTGTAAACAACAGACTTGATTAAGTGCAATTTAAAAAAGTTGTTCACTGATTTGTGGGAGTCAATTTTTGTGTCTGTAATTAGAAGTGGGGTATGAGTAGGGGAACCCAACCAACCAAAAACAAAACAACAGATTATAGAATGACCCATCAACCATCTGGGCCTCCCTGGACTTGCCCAGAGACCATCCATCCCACCTGCTCCAATCTGGCATCTAGTTGGCCTTGGCCAGCATGATGTAAGCAAACTGTTCTCACAGCAGGAGCATGATTAACATCACCGGTTCCCTGACAGTACAAAAGTACCAATATTTATCATTATAAACTGTTCATAATTCTTCTCAGCTTTCAAGATTCTCATGAAAAATACCGTCTGTTCCTGATTCTGTTTGTGCATATATGACCAATCTTATATATGAGTGCAAAAAGGCAAAACCCTCTCTCCTCTCAAAACTTT